TTTTTTTTGAGACAGTGTCTCGCTCTGTTACCCAGGCTGAAGTGCAGTGGTGTGATCTTGGCTCGCTGCAACCTCTGCCTCCCAGGTTCAAGTGATTCTCATGCCTCAGCCTCCCAAGTAGCTGGGACTACAGGCACGCACCACCACATCACAACAGAAAACAGTGTACTTCCTCACTTCTATAACTTTATAAACTGAGCTATCATTGCTGCAAGCTAAGCTTCTTTCCATTTTAATTCAAAGTCTCTGGATTCGAGAACTGTTCTTTTGTATGTACAACAAACGTTTTAAATTTCTCTAGCTTGATTTTATTTCATTTATATATACATCTATATATAGACATATATGTGTATATACATATATACACATACACACGTATGTAAGTATATACACATATATATCAGTATTTCTACAACTCTTGAAACAGAGTTGTATATATATATCTCCATCTATAGATGCTCTGAGTTTCACTTTCCCTGTGATCCAGCCCAAGTCTGTGTGTGTACATATACATACCTTCCTATTAGTCATATTGATAATATGCGTTATGCACTGTATTCTCTCAAGAATCTTAAACATTTGTCAGCAACCGCTGATTCATCATGACAATCTCTAGAAGAATTAAATCTGTATGTGTACACATACACACACAGACCTGCGCTGGGTCACAGGGAAAGTGAAACTCAGGGCATCTATAGATGGAGATAGATATACATCTATATACTTGTGTGTATATATACATCCATATATGTAGATAGATATACATGTATGTGTGCATATGTAGATGTGTGTATATATACACCTGCTGTGCAACTATTTTAATGGCTGTATAGCATTCCAGTATATGCAGGTATATCTATTCTACCTGACTAATCCCCTGGTATCTTGCACGTGAGTCGTTTCCAGTATTTTGTCATTTTCTTTGATGCTACGATGCTTCAGACGGAAAGGGAGGTTGCTTTAGCCCCTGGCCAGCCTCTGCACCAGTGCTTTCCTATACATTCCTTCATTTCTTCCCTTCATGAGCTGGGACATAGGGATTCTTACCCCTGCTCTGTAGAAAGTGCAGCTGAACTTAGTGACATGAAGCCACATGCTCAAGGCACACAGTCAGTAAACAGAGGAGCCATGATTCCAAACTGGTTCTGTTGAGTTGGGAGGCCTATGTGCTCCTTCCATTGTACTATGCAGTTGGTTGCAAGCTAACTGAAGAAAGTAACTGATTCTTCCTCTTGTTTGTACGTTCAGAACAATAAATACATACGAGATCCCATGGAAGGATGCTCACCACATGCAATGAGTTGGTTCGGACTGAAACCCACTCTATAATGGAATAAAGGTCAATAATCTCGCCACCAACTTACTGCAAAAGAAGAATAGCAGTTGCTACACCTAGCAGGAAAAAGCACAATTCATTCAGCATTATGTATTGAGTGCCTACTCTGCTAGACCCTGAAGTGAGGACAATTACATAATTGTGCATCTCTCCACATTCTTGATCTCAATCCTTGTGCTTAAAAAGAGAACCCATCCTTACTTACAGGGAGCCACATGGATCACATAGCCATATCCCACATAGATGGCCCAGTGCTCATAGCCAAAGCGAAAAATCTCAATCAGGTCTCCACGTCTCAGTCTTGGTCTTGGTCTTGGTCTGGACTGCAAGAGAAAAACCAGAGACAGGCAGAGGCGAGCCATCTGCAGGAAACATTCTAGGGCCTGACCTACAAGGATCCCCAGCCCAGCCTGCAGATTCCCTGTGCTCATCACCTGCAGGAAACAGGAAGGAGGAAGCTCTCCTCACATGGGTAGGAACCCCTTTCATTTACTGGGGTTGCAGGACTGGAAAGGTTGCTCTTCAGGAAACAAGGAGGAGATGGAGAGAGTCACTTTGAGGGACATTTTGATGAACTGCAGCACAGAAGTGTGATGGAGTGAGGTGCACAGGCTGCATGTCAGCACATTTTGTGCACAGAGTATGTTTTTGTCAGCAAGTGACTGCATGATTCCCGAGACAGCCTAAAACGCCTCTTTAAAGGCCACCTGCCATGAGCCTAACCCCAGGTGATTCCTGCGAGTTGCAGAGCTCTGACTTGCAACGACCAACATGTCAGAGGCAGTCGGACACTCGACCCACATTATACACCACTCCTTTGGGTAAGAACTATCATTACCCCCACTTGACAGGTGAGCACGTGGAGTCTCAGGAAGGTCAGGTAACTCGTCTAGTGAGTAGAAGAGCAGGAGTGAAGTGTAGGGCTGAATGTTTCCAACATTAATGCCCTTAACCATTCCAGAATGTCCTAGGCAAGCCCAGGGCAGCTGAAGTCTGAGCTCCAGGCTAAAATTAAAGCAAGGGATGGCAGGGTATGGTTCGAGTTGGTGGTAGGGTAGTGCCCATCTGGAGGGTGCATGGGTGGGAGGAATGTTGCCCTGGCCACACCCAGAATGGGAGACAGCCCTTGACACGTGAGTCCCGTTTCCGGTGTGCTCTGGTGCTAGCCAGCACCCCTCCTCCCTGTAACTCAGCTGAGCCAGGCCACAGAGGAGTTGAACTGCTGCTCAGAGCAGTGAGGGTGCCAGCCAACCGGAAGTCTGGTGGGGAGCTATAGTTAAAAGTAAAGCCTTTCATTTGCAGCAACTCAGATGGAATTGGAGACTATTATTCTAAGTGGACTAACTCGGGAATGGAAAACCAGACATCATATGTTCTCACTCATACGTGGAAACTAAGCTATGAGGACACAAAGGCGTAAGAATCATACAACGGACTTTGGGGACTCAGGGAAAAGGGTGGGAGGGGGTGAGGGATAAAAGACTACACACTGAAGCTGGGCGGGGTGACCCACACTTGTCATCCCAGCACTTTGGGAGGCCAGAGTAGGCGGATAACCTGAGGTCAGAAGTTTGAGACCAGCCTGGTCAACATGGTAGAAATCCATCTCTACTAAAAATACTAAAAATATCTGAGTGTGGTGGTGGGTGCCTGCAATCCCAGCTACTCAGGAGGCTGAAGCATGAGAACTGCTTGAACCCGGAAGGCAGAGATTGCAGCTTGAGTCGAGATGGTGCCACTGCACTCCAGCCTGAGCCACAGAGTGATACTCCATCGCAAAAAAAA